CGTTATTGATCGCCGAGCGGTAGATTTGGATGGGGTCGCTTTCCAGGTCGAGCTCTGGATTCTCGACCACGTTTTCCCTGACAAGTGGCCCAAGGACATCGCGCATGAATTTCCGATCCCGAGGAGACTTGATGTAGGATGCGAATAGCTTGTTCCAGAACGAGTTACAGCGCAGATATTCATGCAACGAATCGAAACTCTCAATCTCCTCCTTCGCTGAGCGGGATAGCAACTTAATGAGGTAGTACTCCTCGCGTCTCTTCTGAGAATAACCGAAGAGCCCCATCATCAAGTGCCTTATTCTCTCATACTCCTTTTCCGATGTGTTCAGCTCTCGCAGTCTGCGGAAAAGCTTAGCGAGGTACTGAGATTGTGTTTGCAGGAGAAAGAAGAGCACTTGATAGTGCTCCAACTTTTTCCTAGATGTCTTATTCAAGGCTTTGAGGTCAAATGGGTCTTTTGACGAGATGTCTGCATTGGACAAGAGGCTGCCAACATGGCCTCCAAAATGCTTCTGATGTTTGACGACTTCGTCCAGCGTAATCTTGTTCTTTACCAACAGAGCAATCTTGATGTCCAGTTGACTGATGTATTGTTCCGCCAGCTCATTTTGCCGGACCTGTTGCACGACCAGTTTTCTGAGTCGCTCGAATTCGATCTCCTCATCAAAATCGAATTCGCTGTCGTTCAAGAGATGCACGAATCCTTTGACTGTATTGACTGGTGGATTTTTTCCGGTTGTGAGGCTCTTGTATGCCTGACCCTGGATTCTGCCTCGCACGATGCTCTGCGCCTTGATGACCCTTTCCATGTTGGCCCGATAATATTGGCGCTTTTCTTCGAACTTCGATCGGATGATATGTCCGCGCATGCGAGATTGTAGGTCCGTAATCAGTTCTTCTTCGGCTGCTAGATCAGCCAAATCCTGGCCGACATCAACCCGAACGATCATCGCTCGGATATGCGCCTGCAGCTGGCTAACCTCATTCTCACAATCTTCCAGTTCATCAAGAACAGCTCCAACTTTGATTCTCAGAATTGCCGCTCTGGAGAGAGCTTGAAGATCCACAATGATGTGTTCCTGTGCTCGGAGGGCTTCTGCGTCGGCTTCCAGGCGCCTTCTTAGGATAGCAGCTCGGGCCGCGGACTGTAGCTGTAGAATTGACCTTTCCTCTTGCATCAAGGCCGCTCTTTGTGCGTCCAGAGCATCCCGTACACCTTTTGCTCGTAGAATACTCTGAAGCCCAATGATTGACAGAGTGTGCTGCCCTAACGCTTGTCGAAGTGAGTTCAGGTGACCCCTCACAGCTCCACCACGGACAAAAGCCTGCAGGGATATGCATTCATTCTTTGTCTTTGCAAGTGCGTCGGTCAGTTGAAAATAGCGGTCTCTGGCCGCCAGAGCTCTAACACCGGCTTGAATTGATATCACGGTTGGCGTCTCTTCAGCGAGTGAACTCTTCAGCTGAATGACGGCTTTGCGTATCAACATTGCTCGAATCGCAGCCTGCAGCTGTTGCACATTATCTCCAGTGTTCCTGATGTCGTCTTGTTGAGCGCTCAATTGCCGCCGGAAATGAGCACCTCGAATGAGCGATTGGAGTTGCGTAATTCCGTCTTCGGCGCATTGCGTCTCTTCGTGTTGCTCTGAGATCATTTTGCGACGAAGAGCGCCTCGCACAGCAGCTTGCAATGCGATCACTTGAGGCTCTATGGCCCTGGTGTCCTCGTACACGGCGCAAACTTTCTTCCGTTGCAGGGCGCCTCGAATAGCCGCTTGAATCTGCTTGATGCCCGATTCTTCTTTTCGCGTCCGACTCTGGAGATACTGGACTTGAGTTCTTGCCTTTGCGCCTCTGATGAGAGTCTGCAGCCGCAGAACATCAAGCTCCTGAGCTTGGCACCATTCCCTATCACCTTTCTGGCGGGATCGTACAATGAAACCTCTGCAGGCCGCCTGCAAGTTCACTGCAAAAGACCGCATGTTCAACCGATACTGAATGACCTGACGGGCCCAGTCACCACGGAGTCTGGATTGGAGATCGATGAGGAAAGGTTCGAAAGCCCACAGTTCATTCATGACATTGCCAAGTTTCAGCCGCAACATCGCGCCCTTGATCTGAGCCTGGAATTCGGCAATTGAGGTTTCATTCTCGTGCAGTTCGCGCTCGATTCGCTCTTCTTCAGTTTCAGGTTCTGGCTCGGGCTCGGGCTCGGGCTCTGCACCAAAGTTCGCAGCCATGCCTGAGAAGCTGGGCATGCTTACTCCTGACTTGTCGAGTCCCTTTTGCGTTTGTTCGAGCTCATGGTGCTCGAACTCGAGCTGGCCGACAAGGTTTCCCATGCGAAAATCCACCAGACCTTTCTTGAACAGCAACCATGACAAAGCGTGCACGCAGTGGATGACCTTCGGAATGTTCTTCTTTTCGTACAAATCAATGAGTTCGAACCTGAATAGCTCGGGTAGCTCGACTTCGTCTAAAAATCGAAAGAACAAAGCTATATTGTCGGAGTGTCGGTACTGCAATTTCGGGTGCCTGAAGATTCGGAATGTTCGGTTAGGATACATCGCCTGCACGACTTCTGCGAGAGTGACGCCATCTCTGAGAGCTTCCTCCAGTTGGACGATTGGCGGTATTTGCTTCTGAATGACCTCTTCGATCCATTCCTTGGCTTCTCCGATGTGGCAAAGATACTCGTACGCCTGCAAAAATTGACGTTGTTTGTCCATCCAATTACCAGCCGCCCATGCCGACGCATTCTGCTTTCGAGCAACCCTGGAGCCCTGCGCGCCCGCAACAGAACCCGCGCGCTTCAGTCGTCGTCGTCCCTGCAAGCCCACTACTGAAGGACTGTAGGTTTCGAGAGCAAACTCCTCAGTCTCGCCCGATTTGGCGAACTTGGACAAAGTACGGAGGTGGCCCGTCGACGACTTTTTGAAAGTCTCTAATTCTGGTGTCGAGAGGGTCGTCGTAAGAGGTGGTGGAAGTGGGTTAGACAGACTATGGGAGTGGTGTGGTCGCATATGTGGTCGAGAATGAGGTGAGACGGCATGAGGAGATCCTGGCTGTATGGAGTTCTTTTTCGGAGGGGTTTGCGAATTGAGTGACTGCCGTTCGCTCAATCGGTCGCTCTCCAAACTATGTGGGTGGCGTGAATCGGGAGTTTTGGGGCGGTTTTCCTTCCAATACTGCGGATTATCGACGGTTTGACTTCTCGTATGCCGATATACCGATGTTGTGCTCGTCGGAGAGGCCGCATTAGGAGCCTGGGGAAGTGGCCGCAGGGAACGCCGTACATTCTCATATGTCGTCGCCGCGCTCGTCCAGCTTCCCCCTTCAGAAGTGTCCTTCACCATTGCCCCCGATGTAGTCGAGTTTAATTCACTTTTGCCTCGTCGGTGGCCGATCCGGGAAGCAGATCCCATGGACGCATTTGACGAGACGGTACTGGTTCGACTGGGAGCTTGCGAATTTGACGAGAGAGAATAGACAGATGAACTTGTGGATGCGGTCGAGCCATGTCGGAGCGGGCTCGAGGTATGTTGCGGAAGATCGGTCTGTGTGCGTCGTGGAGAAATTGGCTGACTCGCCATCACTGATGACGTTGTGTGGGCAAGAATGCAAAGATCAAGAGAAATGGGGGATTTTGAACTTCAATTGGCCGCATGCCTGCTTCGTAAAGCAGAAGCAGTGCTGGAACTGTAAGTAGGACGAGTATCTAATGCGCAATAGTACCTGACTACTTTTGGTTGAGACGGGAATGTTTATTCAAGGGAGGGACCGCATTGCCCTATGGCAACCGAAAGAATTGGGCGGGTCGATCGGGGTTGATATAGAAACGAGGTGGACGTAATGTAACCTCTCTCTCTTTGCAGATGAGGAGAGTGAAAGAATCGAAAGCGGGAGAGGAATCGTAAATTTGGAAAGAGTAAAAGAAGGATCAACAACGATAACAAAGCGGTTCGACCCCTCGGGAGATGTGAACGCAAGAGGGGGGAGGGGAAAAGAGTAGAGAATAGATGAGTATGGAGTGGGATGAGAAGGCGCTACCTAGGTACCTCTTTTTTACTTGGATAATGGCCTCCACAGAGATACCTGATCTTGATGTCCCAGCCCCCTCTGTATCTCTCTCAGGTCTCACGGAAGCAAGCGAGCAATAATCAGCAGGGCAGGGAAAACAAATCTCCTGATCGGGTATGGTTGGCGCCATCAGGTGACCGTGCCACACCTTCCTCGTCCATTTGTGGTAACTATTGTCTTTTTCCAGCCACAGATCCCTTCACGTGCAGCCCACTTATGGCACAACCACGATCCATTTCTTCTGCTTATCAAGTGTCAATCTATGATACTAGACATCGACAAGTACTCCGGACCGCACGTGTGATCAGTTCAATGCACCAATCTAATAAGATGTTTCAATCCGAGATTCAGTCTTTTTTTTCCATGGGGTTTTCTCACTGTTACTAGTAACTGTGGCACCTTGGGGAGATTAGATATGGGTTGTATGGTTGTTCGGGATGACCGATGGAGGCCAGCCGATTCTCTGCGGGGCTCATCACGATCTCCAACCTAGTTCACCCGTGCAACCGGGAACATATCCTTGTTATTATTATCAAGGTGACCTGCACAGTCGTAGATTTCAATGGGGCCAGAGCGTCTCTAGTCTCTCGGTTATCTCTAACTAGTCTTCGGGTTTTTATCGCTTCTCTGGAATTCAATTGCCTGTACGCCCGAGGTACGGACGGAGCAGGGATTAACTGACGGACAGATAGTTCAATAACACGATGACGGTGGCTGGCTGAAAAGGCTTTTTTAAGTTAGTGGAGCTCTTTACAGTAAGACAAAGAAAGACCATCATATGCTTATATTGCAGACAAAGAAACCAAAGCATACATCATCTTGAGTAGAAAATCATTGATACGCGTTTGTCCAAAAGGTGCGACCTGAGTCAACATCGAATAAAGCCTATAGAATCCGCATTTTAGCTCATCAGACGATATCATGTTCTGATTACGTTCGTAATTCCATGATGAATCTAAAATATCAATTATCGTCAACGATCCGAATTCGCGGAGTTGAGTCCATTACCCGTCGTTGACAATATCCACCGATGAACCAGTAGTAAGAGACCCCGCCTGTCCATCGGACCGGAATATATTATTGTACACTGAACATTAATCTTTTGAACACTCAACACTTACCTGTTTATGAACGATAAGAATCGAAGAGGATTTATCAGACCAACATCACAATGGCACAGTCGTTACCATTCTACCTCTACAAACTGGTTCCCTCTTCGTCTCCTGTCCGGGAGCCACTTCCTGAGCGCTTACCCGTCAGCGAACTCGACCAGGAGTCGGGCTTCATCCATCTGTCAACCGCCTTGCAGATTCCCAACACATTGAAATACTTCTTCAAGGACGAGCCGTTAGTCTATGTGCTGCGTATAGAATTCGAGCGAGTCATGGCCGACATTAGATGGGAGTCGCCAGATGCAAAGGTTTGTGGGCCGCGACCCGATGAAGGCCTTTTCCCGGTAAGTCCTATCTTTTCCCTACGAGACATAACCTTGGCCTTTTCCTTGATCCATTTGTGACCCACCACTCAAAACTGGAGGCCTTTTGGAATATCTACTGATTGCCCCAGCATCTATATAACGGGCTGAAGCTGGGAAAACACGAGGTTGAGAGTATTGCGGTCTGGACGAATGAGGCTGGGTGGGACAAGGCAATATCACAGACGAAACCATGGCTTTTGTATTAAAATCAGAACGAGTTGGTCAATTACGATGCAGACTATGTTTGACATGTCCAAACTCCTCCTGGAGATCTCTCTGCTTAATCACCCAAGGGATAACAATGCATGACCTGCCCATCTGTACAATTCTCAGTTGACTCGTCCTCATTCAAAACCGGAGCCAGAAGCATAAGGCGCACTTACAGTAAAGAGAAGCATCAGCACTGGCAAGAAACACGAAAGTAGTCGCTACCTCACTTGGCTCACCCGGTCGACCCAGGGGAGCCTTTGAGCCCCAGTTGGCCATCTGTTCAGCGTCCCTGGTGTCAGCCTGGATTGGGGTGTAGATCGCACCAGGGCTGTTGAATGAGACGATTAGCTAAGCATTGTGTGAAAGAGCTCAAATCTTGGTCACTTACGCAACAGCATTCACTCGAATACCCTTGGGAAGCAGCTGAGAAGCTAGAGATCTGGTGAACCCGACAATGGCACCTTTCGTGGCCGCATAGTCCACCATACTGCTTGAACCTCGGAAAGTCACGACAGATGTGGTGTTTATAATGCTATTGATATAAGAAGGATGAGTTACTTGCGCACACTGCGGGTCGAGGAATACTAACGAGTCGCCCTTTGACAGGAATGGCAGAGCATATTTCGTCAGAGCCATCATCTGGATGATGTTGGTCCGGAAGATATCCTCAACCTTATTCAGGTCGATATCGGCGAAGTTCTTATTCATATACTGTTTCGAGGCATTGTTGATCAGGACGTTCAGTCTCTGGAACCTGCTTCCGTATCAGTAGGTGCTAAATAGGCCGATTAACAAAAGGCCCGTGGTTACTTGTTCATATGCTCCTCCACGGCCCTTTGACACATATTGTAATCCCTGAGGTCTCCAGCGACAAGTAGGCATGATCTCTTCTCGAGTTCAATGGCTCTCTTGGTCTCTTCTGCGTCATCTTTCTCTTCGGGAAGATGGACAATTGTGATATCGGCCCCTTCCCGTGCCATCAGAATGGCAACAGCTCGGCCGATCCCGGAGCTATACGCTCGTCAATATTGTTCACTAAGTAACGCCCCTAAAGCTGATGGACATACTCTCCGCCGGTGATGAGCACCTTCTTGTCCTTCAATTTGCCAGAGCCTACATACTCAACAAAGTGACCTCTTGACTCTAGTTTCGTCGCTTCGCTGGGAGGAACCATATTCTTTTCGAGTCTAATGATTATGTCCTTAATACCGGAGTCCTTAAGCGACACACACGGGGTCCAAATACTGACCCCGGTTTTTGCTGACTTTGCGGTGTCTGAGGCGGTTGAAAAGCACCTTCCTTGCCCATCTGAGACGCCATTTTGAAGTGACTGCTAGGTTGCTGTTGACGAGTGAAAGTTTTGTTCGAGCCTTCGCATCCGAAGGTTGAGTAGGCACCACCTTTGCGAGTTCTTAAATACCACAGTGCACCAGTTATGCTGTCACTCTGGCGTCATCTTGTCGCAAATTGCTATGTAATATACAATCGAGCGCAGTTTCAGTCTACCATGGATTACTACCTCACGGATCGATATCTTTGGGCTCTTCCGATTGTTGAACAGTATGTGGAAGTAGAGCGATGCATGTCGTTATCATATGTTGCTATCCTATGTCTTGTGCACGACCTCGCCTTCCTGGCTGATATGTTCAGACAAATATGACTACATATAGATCCAGGGATCTAGACTGATTGCCGAAGCCAAGCTGAGCTAAAACATATAGGTTTCATGGCTCAGCGCATCACAGAGGCTTCCACTCGCAGGTACCATGACTGCAGCAGCTATTGTGCATTACATGACTAGATATCAGCGACAACTTTACCTATTAGAGCAAATCTAGTCATGCATAGTCGCAACCCGGTGCCTAGTATACACCGTAGGGAGTACACTCCTTCAAGTCCTGCGCTTGGAATCTTCATATCCAGTCCGACGATCGCAGATTATCAAATGCGATTATCAAGCAATAAAAATATGTGCCCCCTCTGTCTCACCGCCTTAAGAGTTTTCGTTAAACAGCCAATTACAATAACGGGCTCCGCAATTACCACCATGACTATACTATTTCCGGTATAACACCTGCTGGGATTAGCTTGTGCGGCAGAGAGTCAAAAGGCAATTTTTTTCCCCTCGAGGTTTTCTCTCTTTTTCTTTCTTTCCTTTCTTTGGGAAAGGAAGACTTTCTCCATCAACAGAACGTTTCTATCGTCGATCTGTTGATTATTTTGATCTGATACCCGTCTCTGCGCGTTACGATAGAAACCGTAGAGTCTTTCTCATTATATACACAATGCCCATCGCCAACCGTGACTCCCTCGGCCGCGCCATGAAGGCAGAGATTCAGGATTACACCAAGGCCCTGGAGGTCCTGGAAAAGGAATACACTACCAGAGACGGCCTTGATGTTGATACCCTGCTTGATTCGGACAAGCACGGAGCATTGACTTACAATGATTTCCTGATCCTGCCTGGTTACATAGGTAAGACAGTGGAAACTCGCCTTTACATAAAAGGACCGTTTGTTCATGATCATGACAGGATTCCCTGCTTCTGATGTCACTCTGGATACCCCTGTCACCAAGCGTGTCTCGCTGAAGGTTCCCCTTCTCTCCTCCCCCATGGACACTGTCACCGAACACAACATGGCTATCCACATGGCTCTTCTGGGTGGTCTCGGTGTCATCCACCACAACTGTTCCCCCGAGGATCAGGCCGAGATGGTCAGAAAGGTCAAGAGATACGAGAACGGCTTCATTCTGGACCCTGTCGTTCTCTCTCCCAAGGCCACCGTTGGAGAGGCCAAGGAGCTCAAGGCCAAGTGGGGCTTCGGAGGCTTCCCTGTCACTGGTAAGCACACAATTTTCCTTTCTCTCAGCTGTCACCCCTACATGATGATTTTCCATCTTATCTCTTATAACTTTCGTTCCACTGGAGCAACGAGAGTTGCGATGTAGAGAAACGATTCTATCTGAAATCGACAACGCATAATGATTTCTCTTGATCACAATCACTGTTTGCAAGCCTTTGTCTAACCTGTGATTCTGTGACAGAAAACGGAACTCTCCGCTCAAAGCTCGTCGGTATGGTCACTTCCAGAGATATCCAATTCCACACCAACCTCAATGACCCGGTCACTGCAATTATGTCCACCGACCTTGTCACCGCACCTGCCGGTACCACTCTTGCCGAGGCCAACAACGTTCTTCGTAGCTCCAAGAAGGGAAAGCTTCCCATCGTTGATGCAAACGGAAACCTTGTCTCTCTGCTGTCTCGCAGTGACCTGATGAAAAACCTCCACTACCCATTGGCATCTAAGCTGCCCGACTCGAAGCAGCTGATCTGCGCTGCTGCTATTGGTACTCGTGAAGAGGATAAGCACAGACTCAAGCTTCTCGTCGAGGCTGGTCTTGATATTGTCATCCTCGACAGCAGCCAGGGTAACAGCATCTACCAGATTGAGATGATCAAGTGGGTGAAGAAGACATTCCCCGAAATTGACGTTATCGCCGGTAACGTTGTCACTCGGGAACAAGCCGCAGCTCTGATTGCTGCTGGTGCCGATGGCCTGAGAATTGGCATGGGCAGCGGCAGTGCCTGTATTACCCAGGAAGTCATGGCTGTCGGTCGTCCCCAGGCCGTTGCCGTTCGCAGTGTTGCTTCCTTTGCTGCCCGCTTCGGTGTTCCTTGCATCGCCGACGGTGGTATCCAGAACGTCGGCCACATCGTCAAGGGTCTCGCCATGGGTGCCTCTACCGTCATGATGGGAGGTCTCCTTGCCGGTACCACCGAGTCTCCCGGTGAATACTTCGTGAGCAACGAAGGCCAGCTTGTCAAGGCCTACCGTGGCATGGGAAGTATCGCTGCCATGGAGGACAAGAAGGCCGGTGCTGGTAGCAAGGATAGCAAGGCCAGCAACGCTGGTACTGCCCGTTACTTCTCCGAGAAGGACCGTGTGCTTGTCGCTCAGGGTGTCGCCGGTTCTGTGCTCGACCGTGGTTCAGTCACCAAGTTTATTCCTTACCTTGTTGCGGGTGTCCAGCACTCTCTGCAAGATATTGGTGTCAAGAGCCTTGACGAGCTCCACGACGGTGTCAACAAGGGCATTGTTCGTTTCGAGATGAGAAGCGCTAGTGCCATGGCCGAGGGTAACGTCCACGGTCTGCACAGCTACGACAAGAAGCTCTACTCGTAAAGGGCTTTGTTGGATGTAAAAAAGCGTAACTTCTTTTTATGTCTCTTCTCTCTCAGGACTTGTCAGTCAGGCTATGTTCACATGATGATACGCGCTTGGTATGAAAGTAAAAATTGGGCATGATGGTTTTGGAGTTTGACATGGAATGCACTTCGGATGATTTTCTTCAATGTTGCTGTTCGAAGTAATTATGCTTGCCGTCAGGCAAATTCATTTATGAATTCAAAAAAGGAAAAAAAAAAAATCCTAAAAAATATGTCGTAAACTACTTATCCTTGTAGGCCTTAAAATTTTCATAACTCATGACCTACGCCTGCACCTTGCGAGAGAGTCGCGCGGGGTAACGTAGGAGAAGCCTAGGTTCCATCTGCCATTGCCAAGGTTAAGCTACCGATACCCCGGAAACAACCCAGGCACCATAACCCTCCCAAGAGGTACCAATTGTTCCTTAATACTACGCATAAGCAGCAGGGACATAAGGCGCCTCCAGTGGCGCTCGTCTCTCATGGTCACCAAGACATTCTTTACTGGGCCCTTCAGCTCAACTTCCCAGTTCATCTGCAGATCTGGCCAATCGATCGACCGTCGGCTAAGGTTGGTCCGAGGCCCACGCTCTAGGTGTATACAAGTACTACCGGTGCCTTGCGTCTGTCACCGTGCAAGATTCAACGTTAGAAACTTCTCTTCTACGGTGGAATCATCGCAGTCCACTGGATCGCACAAAATGCCAGCTACAAAGGTTGAGCGATCCAAGGCCACGCCGGCGATACCCAGGCCGAGCTCAAGGTTAGTACATAATACGGCCCTTGTTTGTCTTGATACCATCCGTGATGTGATTTGAAGCCGGCGCTTATATGCTATACGCGGTGTTGAATTGATTAAATTTTCGTACCTTCCAGTTCTACGGCTAACAAGCGGCAGCGTCATACTCATCTCGCCCAAAAATGAAGTCCTGTTACTGCATCGCGTCAAGACGTCAACTTCATTTGCCTCGGCGCATGTATTTCCTGGAGGAAATCTGTCTGCTGAGGACGGGGAATGTCCCGCGGTGGGAAATCCAAAGAGGCACGAGGATGCGCCGTGGTACCGCAATGCTGCCGTGAGGGAATTGTTCGAAGAGAGCGGTATCCTGCTGGCGAGAGACAAGAACACGGGCGTAATGCTAGCTGTGCCCGAGGCAGAGAGAGAAAAAGGAAGACGGGCCATCCATCAGCATGAGGTGACGTTTGCCGAGTGGCTGAAGAAGCAGAATGCTGCAGCAGTACCGGATATAGGTGCGCTGTTCTCAAGTCATTTCATAAATACCGACATGTTCAGCTGATGGAGCTACAGAGCCTTTGATCCCGTTCACGCGATGGATTACCCCTACGAACGTCCCCAAACGGTACTCAACACAGATGTACCTCTACTTCCTGCCTCTTCCAGTTGAGACAGACCAGTCAGTACTGAACGAGATTCCCGCCGAAGGGGAACGGGAAGAAATTCAAGTTCCTACGAGCGACGGCGGAGTCGAAATAACGGAGGCCATGTTCCTGCCTGCAGCAGAATGGCTGCGGAGGGCTCAAAGCGGCGAAATCATCATGTTCCCTCCGCAGTTCCTTCTGTTACATCTAGTGTCGCAATTCCTTGACAAGGAACCGCGAGCGACGGCTTCGCTTGAGGAATTGAGGAACCGACGGGCACAACTGGTGGAGTTTGTGCATTCGGGAACACCGCCTTGGACGGAGAAATGTATCTCCCCTAAGATGCTCAAGATGTCCTCGGACGGACGGACTGTGTTAGCACTAGATCGTCCCGGACCGGAGTTGGAGGGCACAAATCGGGCTGGGGAGCCGGATCGGGTGGTGTATGTACAGTTCAAGCAGGGGGCTGCTCGAAATCTCGATGTTCGATGGAAGAACGATGTATTTGTAGAGCAGGAGAAGAGCAGTCTGTAATGGCGCGGGACATAGCATACAAAGAAAGAGCAGCGTGAGAAGCTCAACTTGTGAAGAGCTCCAGTTATTTGACGCTATCCCGCATTTGTCTTAGTTGGCTATTGTTCCTGGCGAAATACCATTTGGCGCAGACGCCACACGCCACAGTATAGGCACCGCCACACGAGAGAATCGGAGCCCTCGATAAAGGATCACATGACCCACACAACCCGCTCGATTCACAGTAGATTTTCACGACAGTCCGCCAGTTGAACCCGCCAGCGCACCTACGTCTTCTTCACCGTCGTCAACCTCAATTACTCCTAACCAACCGCCAAAATGGAGAACGAGAAGGGAGAGATCGTCGATCTGTACGTGAATATTAATTTCCTTCGCTGTTTGCGCTTGACTGGTTCTACGGTGGTCCGGGAGCCGAGAATGACTTTGCGACTTGGGGCAATGCACAAGAGGAGTAGATGACAACCTGGGGCGAGCTTTCAGCGTTCAACAGGCGCTGTTGCAGGATAGTCCTTTTTGTCGCAGAGTCCTTCCCGGCTTCCGGAAACCAGCAGGGGACAGGAGAGAATCTTGAACCACGAGCATTGAATCTTGCAAAACGCACACGACTAACCTTTCTCTCTCTTTCTTACAGCTACGTCCCCCGCAAGTGCAGCGCCACCAACCGCATCATCAAGGCCAACGACCACGCCTCCGTCCAGATCTCCATCGGCAAGGTTGACGAGAACGGTCGCTACACCGGCGAGAACCAGAGCTACGCCCTCTGCGGTTTCATCCGTGCCCGTGGCGAGAGCGATGACTCCCTGAACCGTCTCTGCCAGCGCGATGGCTACGTCCGCAACGTCTGGTCCGCCAGCCGCCAGCGGTAAACGCGAGATTTGACCTTTTCTGGTGTTTGCGGTGCCTGACGGGTTGCTTGGATGTAAGTGCTACATCTGTCGAATCATGGTCAGAGAGCTCGCATACTGATTTGGATGGTCGGTTCGGATAGGAAAAGACGGGCCGTTAGATGAGTTACGTCTGGGAATTGATGATGTCCGAAAATCATTTTCTTTTACCATGAGTCAATGAAGACTTGAAGAAATTCCATCCAATTCAACCCGGTCAATCCATTCCATGCATAGGATTCTCATAGCTTCTCTTCCTCGTTCTCGCCGTCTGGCCTGCTGTATCATGATACCGACAACCGTCTTCAGGATGAGCGCTTTTCTTGCTGTAGTTTTCTTTGTCCTGTTTTCCATCGCATCCGGCACATCAAGGCTTCCTCGTCCACGGAATCGGATTGCGTGTCGGACAGATATGCATCTGGTTCCATCCCATGAGCGAGGAGGTAGAAAGTAATCATCCAGCCGAATATCAGGATCCGCCTACTGAAGAGCCACTGTTGCAAAGAATATGCGCTGGGGCACAGATACGGGTGGGACATCCCATGTTTCGTGCTTCTTATCTATGTAGTCTACATTTTAGATCCGATCTGTGGAATGGTTTGAATTAAAATCTTGGAAAATTCTATTTTTATAGTCATGCATCATTTCGTAGCCCTTGAAGAAAATATGTAACGTTTTCTGTCTGTCTTCGATAACTCTAAAGAAATGCAGGATATCGAGTTGAATGCTATTTTCTTTCCCCGTAAAATCTCTCTACACGTCGACGCACCCTTCGTCCACTTAGTCCTTCTCCAGTCGCACGGCAGGGTTGGTCTCGATGAAGTTAAGGTCGACTTTGTGACCAAGAAGTTCTCGAATATTGCTCACTCCGTATCTGCGGTAACACGTCAGCTCAAGGATTGGAAGAGGAAGTACGGTAGAACTCACTTGATCATGGTTGGTCTCTCAAGACTCAATCCCCATCCATAGACTCTCATGTCCTTGGGAATGCCCATGGGCTCCAGCATTTCTGGTCTGAACATACCACTGTTTCCAATCTCGACCCACTTGCCCAGTCCTTCGTGGTAACCGAAGATCTCCATACTGGGCTCGGTGTAAGGGTTGTAAGCGGGCTTGAAGCGCAGTTGGTGGATACCCATCTTTGCGAAGAAGACCTCCATGAATCCAATCAGACCACCCAGGGTGAGGCCGAAGTCAGCAATGACACCCTCAATCTGGTGGAACTCAGCCAAGTGAGTAGCATCGACGGCCTCGTTACGGAAGACTCGGTCGATACTGAAGTACCTTGCCGGCCGCGGGTTTGTGGCGAGTTTGTGGAGGACGTAGGTCGACACCGAGGTGGTGTGGGTACGGAGAACCAACCGAAGGGCTTCATCCGCGTTCCAGGGGTAGCGGTATCCGATCGAGCCGTACTTTCCGTTCTCGTGGACCTGGCGCACGTTCTCCCAGTACTCCTTGTAGTCGAGGGCTTCTCCGAGGTCGCTGCGGAGGCGGGCTGAACGGATTTCGGACGGTGGGGGTCGTTCAAGGGATCCTCACGCGGAGGATCAGCGGTGGCAGGGTCTGCAATGTAGAATGTATCCTGAAGATCACGGGCGGGGTGTTGTTGAGGGACGTAGAGGGCGTCGAAGTTCCAGAATCCCGTCTCCACGAAGCGGTTGGTGGGCATCTCTTCGAAACCCATCTCAAAGAAAATATTCCGAAACTCCTGTCGCACCTTGTTGAGGGGATGGAAGGTACCGGCCGGCGTAGGAGCACCCTTGGCCTTGAAGTTGTACGGCTTCAGCGTAACTGTCTTCCATGACCCATTTGCGAGCATCTCGGGCGTCAGGTCGGTCTCCTCCTTGACAAATTCCTTGGCGAACTTGGGGCCCTTTGAAATCCGGAAGGTAAAGACCTTCTGCAGAGCGATCAATTTCCGACGCCTGAGGTCCGCGATGACCTTCTGGTCGTTCAAGGTCTGCGTGTTCTTGACGGTCAACAGCTGCTCTCGGGTCTCGTCGACGATGGACTCGGTGTTCGCCCGCAACACATCCTTGTCCTTCTTGATCCAGCCTTTCTTGAATGCATTACCCTGGCCGACCTTGGCGTTCTCTTTTCCGACAATGCCAGGCAAGTCACCGATCTTCAATCCGTCCATGGCCGCCAATACGGCTTGGAAGACCTTGGCTTCGTGACTGCCATTGGCGGCGATTTCCTCGCCCTCCTGGGTCAAAGTAATGGCTTCCCTTTCCATTCTTTCATATTCGATCATATTCCGCGAAGCTAGACGGTCAAGCGCACTCTTAAGGTCTAGTGAGGGGGTAGAGGGGAAGGCTTTGTCGGAGAGGATTGGGCCGTCGGACGCGGACAGGGCGTCCAGAATGGAGTTTGTCAAATCGGACGCCATGGCTGCAGCCGTATGAAGAGGAGGATAACAGAGGTCGAGAGAAAGGACTGCGTGGCGGGGACCGTAACGAGGACTCTGGGATATCAACCACTGTGCCTCTACCCACTACTAAATTGTGACTCTTTTCGGGCCCTCTTACGGGAGACAGTTCAAACCATAGGCGCATTCACGTGACACTTTCCAGGCACCCCGCCATCATCACAATTAGTCATCATCAGCATAAGCCTTTACCTAGTCTTGTGCATCAACATCAATCATTCTGCATCTGAGTTCTGCTATCATGCCGTAGATGACCGCTGATCCAAGACATCATCTTCGTATACACTACTTTGTGGCCTAGCTTCCCTGTGTCTCTCCTGTCTAGCCCATGAGACAAGGATCGAACCTAGGGTCATGATCCCGCTAGACATTCCACGGAATGCTTGAAAATCAACATCCCTACAAGCCGGGACACAGACTGGTCTAGTCCCAGTCTCAGCTAGTTGACAGCTTCGTCCTCATGATCTTGCTGGATGATGAGTATGCTCTCGGCCACGCAGCGAATTTCTAAGGCACAGTCATTCCTGGTGACTGGTATGAAGGCGATTCGTTCGAAGCGTTTCGTGGCGACTTGACTGCTCTTTTTCCTTCTATGGATTGGCTTGGAATTCCACACACTTTTTCGACTGGACAAACGTATTTTGAAATGATCCAGTGGCTTTTACGGTGCTTGGAAGACGATACAGGGAACAATCTAATGAAAACGGCGGACTTGTGTCTTAGCAGGAATCGAGGGACCAGAAACAGGAATTGGGGCATTGCACAATATGGATCAGTCATCACTGAAAGAGATCAGGCGAGCAAGTAAGACAAAGACAACGCAGGACTTCATGCTGCTCACTTCCGATTGGGACAATCTAAATTAATGCAGAGTTCCAACATCTAACTTCCAACATGCGAGTAGGATCAAACAGAGGACAGCAGTATATGTGAATAATGGTGTTGTATCTTCCAGCCACTATTTCGTAGCTGACAACTGGCAATGACAAATATTGCATGCTTATAATTCCGTAGGCATCCCTAGATGTCAAGCATTTGGAACTTGTATAGACACCTTACATAGTCCACGTGCGCCTGACAACTCGCAATTACAATTTTGGTATCTGATGCACTGGTAAGTGAGTGCAGACTAAGGTAGGTAGGCAGCTTTGGTTTTTATTCTGGCAAAAGTACGTACCGACCTGATCTGACTACCTGGGTACTTAGTTGCCTTGGTATTCTTGCCTCATGTAGGCCCAGTCAGGAATAGTGCCACGGGGTCGCTTCGAATACAAGCAAATTATACAATGTTGATTGGCTCGGACGTTTTTAAATGATGGATTACCTTAGTGGAACCTGGTACTTCGTATTGAGTACAGTATTCTGAGAATTTCACGGAAATTGCAAGCGCATCTCAACTGCATATAGATGAAGATATGCAAGTACAGATCTTATGCTGGGGTACCTCCTGTTTCTGAATAATACATGAGTTCGGAAGAGTAGCTTGAATTAGACAGAGCTGACTCACCTCAACATGTCGATACGTAATACGCAGCAGTAGACGATTAGCGCAGTGGTCGCATTTGTTGGTAAAATTCGGTCTAGCGAGCTTTGGGCTTGTTTGGTTATCAGTGCATCTCCATATGGCAAGAACCATAGAGGAACAAAGGAGCGCTATACTACGTTGGTACTTAGAGTAGGCTCTCGAGTCTGTAGGTGGTTTAGTGTTGGAGTTAGCCTTCAATAAAAATTGGCCCTATCATGAAAGTAGAAAGAAAGCTGAGACGAGCTGTCGAACGGTTTTCTCCAAGTGGATTCATTTTGCCACGCTTATGTTTGAGGACTGGAGAATGTTGAAGGGCGGAGTAGTGTGGGTATCAGTTTTGAATATTCCCGTTGTACAGAGTATGCAAAGTCTTCTTGATGTATTTTACCAATTAGTCTAGTAATTGAAGCTTTGAATTCAAATAGGAAATAGTGAGGTTCCCTAGCTACCTCCATAGGGGCTTTTCCTCATATGGAGAGCCGTCTGAGCATTGTCTATTGGAATATTCGTAAATTCAGCCATTTCTCCTCACCGTCCCGATGACAAAGTAAGGTGTGGTAGACCAAAAAACGGACTGAACTTAGCTAAAGGACCAACTGGGGACACACATGGGGTTTTGGGGGCGTGATCGTCGCCGTTCTTCTTAGTAGGTAACTATCTACGCGATGTGGCCGTGGCTGTGGCTGAAAGTAAAGATCAGCACAATGTAAATCATCCTTCAAATCCACCACAATTTCCGTACTTGAGATTGGTAGTGGGTTTTAACAAGAGTAAAATATGGCAGAGCGGCACACACATATACAGTACTAAAGGATGAAGGCTTGAGCCCCGTTAAGACCCCGAGGAATGATTGTGGCGCGGTCCAACGAAGATTTTTAATGGTAGTAGTAAATAATGGTAGGTAGGTATTGACTGCCCCGGTTTGCTGGTATTATCATCGGTATTATTCATAGGAACTGTGCTGGCATAAGAAACTGAGGTACTCCGCACTCTGTACTTTTCTTGATATCAAGCAATTTCTACTACCGGACGTCTGGCAACACTTTTTCATATAAAGAGTTTAAATGTTGCTGAGGAATGACACTCACCTGTCCCTTCTCACCGGGGCACTTGATGATTTCTCCGTAATATCAAGTCTGATGAAGCTCGGGTTTCACTGGAGATTTCCTAGATCTCTCTAGCTAAGGCGCTAAATCCATTGAGATACTATCCTTCCCATTCCCACCCCCCAAGAAAACGGCGCCAACGAGGCCAAACCCAAGCAAGATCCAATCATATCCTTTGCTGCCATACCGATAGACCCCTCAGTTGATCTGTTCCTCTCCCTCCTCTTCCTGTCCGCCTGTCCCCTCCCAGGCTCCCATCTGCTCTCTATCAAGCAGGTACGGAGTACTGTTCTCTTTTCACGCACACTGATAGTTTTTTCACGAGGCTGAGGCTCCTCCTCCTTCTTATTATCATTATTATCCATACTGAATATCACTATCATTTTGGATATATCTCTTTTCTTTTTTTCCTTCCCGGTCTCTCCTCTCTTCATCCTCCAACTGACAACTAAATCGCCTCCCCCTTTCGTCGCTGTAATTTTCCCCCACTACTCTGTACTGGCTTTGTTTTCCACTTACCAACCTAACTCTTTT